AATTTACAAAATATTTCTGGAAAAATTATATCATAGTAAAATTATATTTGTGTAATGAAATCAGTAATCATCTACTAACGAATAATTCGTTAACGCTATAACGAAGATTCTTATAATGAAGTCCTGATCGGCTGGATCAGTAACTTCATTATATCTAGGTGTGACTGTATTTCAAATTGGTCTTTCTCTAGTTTAAGGACTTTACAGATCTAATACATACTATTGTTACTTTCTCTCCATAGCTTTATCTTATCATCTATCTTTTTCTGTTGTCTACAATATAATTATGAACATTTGACATATATAAGCTCAAAGAAGACATCTAAATATTTTATCACATACATAATATCTGGTTGTCTCTCCAACTGTCCTTCACCTTTTCTATCAACACTAGTAATACTCTGTCATTCTGAAATACTGATAAATAAGGATAATTTAGAAGGAAGATTTTTTAGTATTACTTGAATTAATAATAGAATAACCATTGATTGATAAATTCCTTCATTTAGTGATTTTGCAAGTTCAAAATTAAAAGCTGGATTATTCTAAATAACTTCCAAAAGAATTAAAACTTCTTTTATAACATCTGCGATTTTTTCTTCTGATTCTTTTCAGGATCTATCATAAATTAGTTTTCTGGTATTATATGTTGACAAAACTTGTTATAAATTTTACACACATTTTTTTTACTATTGACATAGGAGTAGCATCATTTGTCGAACAGATTTCTAATATAAAATACAATAGTTATTTTCATCACGTATAGATAAAGATGGAGTTACAGCTACTTTTGACAGATAGACTAATATAAACAAGAACATTTGTGCAGTGTTGTTTTTATTACCTCTCAAGGACAATTACTAATTTTGGAGACAAAGGAAATTAGTTCTGAACATTCAAGAACTGAAGATTTAATTCATCATATTAAAAATTTAATGAATGAGATATAAGAAAAACAAATAATTATTAGAGCATTTGTATCTGATTCAGCAGGTGAATATGCTGCTGCTAGATTAGTATTTAATATATTAAATTATATAAATATATTATAATAATTTAATTAAAACTAATTTTGTTTTAGACAGCAACTACGAAGAGAATATTCAAATAAAGTATTTCTTCTGTGTATGGCACATCAAATAAACCTAGTTTTTGGTAATATATTTTAAGAAGAATTGTATAAATGAACTTCAATTGAAGCTATTAGAATTGTCTCTTATTTTCATAGTTCATCTTTTTTTACTAGTCATTTACGTGATGAACAAATGCATATTTATCAAAAAACAATTTCATTGATTTTATCAGGTGATACTAGATAGAATAGTTACTACTTTTGTTTTTATTCTTTATGTAAAACACAAGCTGCTCTAAAGGTATTTTTTTTAATATAATTATATTATAAATAATTTTATTATTTAATTTTATTAATATTATATTAATTTTTAGTATTTATTAGCAAAATTTAATCCTTATTGAGCTAATGTATTTCGTACTAATTGATAACCTAATATTCAAGCCAATAAAAATTCAATAACAAATAAAAAAAATGCAAATTATCAGTTGATATTGCTGATATTATTAATGATTCTGAATTTTGAGCTATGCTATTTTCATTACAAAATTTATTGTATTCTCTTTGTGGATTTTTAAATAAATTACAAAAAGATACTGCAAAACTTTTTGAAGTTTTACATTGTTTTACATATATGATTCAAATATTTGAAAGTCATCAGGATTTAGATTTTAGAATAAAAATGTGTAATAGATTAGAAATAAGATGGCAAGAATGGGAGTAACCATTATTAATATTTTTATTTGCTCTTCATCTAAGTTACAAATTAATAAAATTTCATAATAATATTAATAATCTTACTTGGACACATATTGGTCAATGGTGTAAATATTATTATGAAGCATGGTTTAACAAGTATTCTACATCAATTTTAGTAGAATAATTAAATATAAACGAGGAGAAGATCCATATGATAATGATTCTTTTGTATAATTTAATAATAATCTAATTGATTTTTGGAATTTACAAGTGGAATTAGGTCAGAATTGGCAAGGATTGCTATTCATATTCATGGTATATGTGTAAACTTTGCCTCAGTGGAAAGATTATAATCAAGTATAGGATTTTTCATACAAATCAAAGAAATTGTTTACAGATAAAATTTAAATTTATTAATTATATTATTATTTATTATATTATATATTTTATTAATAATTATTTTTTATTTTTTTAGCATAAAAAGGTTTTAGCAATGAGTCAAATTCGTAGTGATATTACATATAATTGTAATCTTCAAAATATAAATGAAACAGATTGACAATTCGTCAATTGCATATAACAATACCTATTATTTAAGATGATGATATAGATTTAATTGAAATTCAAAATATTAATGAAGATAAATGGAGAGTTAGTGATGATGATGAAAATAATTATGAAAATCAAAACATTGAAAATGAAATAGTTGAACCTATTACAAATGAACATGAGATTTCTTTGAATGTAATTATTAATGAATGGTGAAGCTACACAAAAAGAAAATCAGTTTGATAATAATGAAGACACTATATTTTTAAATAGTGAGTGGGAAAATGATTTTAATGTTGGTAATAGGCAAATTCATCTTGCTGATGATCTACAAGCAAAATGGAGTTTAAGAATTTTGTTTATTATAAATTTAAAACCACCAACATATTTAGGTACCAATTTTGATTTTTTTTTATAAATTTGATTGAAATTATCATAATAATAAAGTAATTCATTTTAAAATATAAAAATAAAATGTTTTTAAAAATTATTATTTGATTGGTTATTTATATACTTTTAATTAATGATCATATGACTGGTCATTGGTCATATAGGTCATATAGGTCATTAAAGGTCATAGCCCAACACTGCAGTAAAATGTGGCGAAGTGGCTTCAGCTACGGAATTTCACGTTAATAATGTCACGATAAGCATTACTAAAAAAAAAAACTCACTGAAAATCAAGAAAAAAAAGGCTTGGTTTATTTTTTTTAATTGTTTAGCATTTTAATTTCTTTTCTTTTTTTTCTTTTAATAGTACAAAGATAAAATCAGAGAGGGACGATTATAGCTTCGGTAAAAGGGAAAGTAAAAATTAATTAGGAGTTCTATTAAGATTTAGGGTTGGGCTATTCTCAGTAGTTATTTGTCTACACTTTCCACGCGTGTCTGCGACATGTAATTCCTGGATGACCTTTTCCGTTTCAGTTAATTTCCTCTGCCCAAAATTAGATGAATTGAGTATTTGATGATTATAAGACAAAGAATCAGATATACATACCTCCAATTCTTTCAAGAGGCAAAAGACACCTTCAAATAAGCCACAATTTTCTTTATTTGACGGGAGTTGACAATTTTCTATCAATCCAAAGCGATACATCCCATTTCCGGTCCAGTCCATTGCATATAGAGATAAGTCAAATCCTATATTGAATGAAATAAATTAGTCATATAGCAAAGTTCAGGCAAATGGTCTACATGAAATATCTACCTGCAAGCGTCCAACCATATACAATAAGCTTTTTTCTCTGCTCATCATTTAAATATTTCCATTTTTTTAAAGTACTATTTAACGAGTCTCTCATTAATACCGCAAGTTTGACTTTGTCCAAATATTTCTTTTTTTGTGATGCAAGCGATATTCCAAGTGGACATAACCCGTTTGCGACCTCCCCGTATAAGGCTTCAAACTTATTGGATGTCTTTGTTAGGGTGCCTTTCATATCAACCTTGCGCCCCATACGAGCTTTGACAAAAGGATTTGTTTTATCATTTCTCATATCTTTTGAGCCAAGCGTCTGAATCTCTCCCCTATGTGAACATAGAAAAATATCTTATTACTATATATTTGCTGTAAATCAACGTGAAATGACGTACCATGTATCTTTTACTAACGAAGGATCCATGACTGCATTGAATAAAGGGTATATGGTAGTAAATTTAAGCTCTTCCTCCGTCTTACCTCCGACCTTTTTCATGTTAAGGATTCTAATAAAATAAAATCTCTTTAGATATCAAAATACATCGTAGATAATGATGAGCCAATCCTTACATAAATTGAATATTCGCGTGTAGTTTTTCTTTGTCTTCATTATCTTCAAGATTAACTGGATCGCAATTGGAATCAAAATATGTTTGAAGGTTTTTTGGAGTTGGTTTCGGAGACCATTGAATATGATTTGCAAAATCTTGTGAGATTTTATTAATTTCGCATTGGGAAAACTCCTTACACTCATAAAGGCTCTCTTGCGTCAGGTCAAAAACTCCCCAGTACCCTAATCTATTAGATACCAAGCAAAGCTTAAGAACGAATTATTTTATTGCGTTAAAATCTTAATAACAAAGCTTACGTTATAATCTGATGCGTCTTTGGAATTTTATTCTGATACTTCTTGAATTTATCAGAGATACTATGAAATTCTTGCTTTGAAGTCTATTAAGCATCATTACATCAGCATGCTGAAAATTAATTATAAATCTTAGCTGTATCAAGAAAACTTACATCATTTGAAACAGGTAATGATATTTCTTCTCCCAAAATGGATTCGTCAATGGATTCAACTAATTTATCTTCATGCGCCTCATCAAATAAGAAAGACAATTCTTCCGTCGATTCTTCTCCTGTTGATTCTTCATACGTTCTTCTCTTTTTTTGCTCGCTGACCACTTCTTTCTGTTTTGACGTGTCTGCTTCTTTATCACTCTTTGATCTCTTTTTTTTATTTGTTTCTTTTCGTAACAGCTTTGATATTCCTTGAGACGAATATATATTTTTCTCAAGGTGCTGAACCCTTTCGGTAAGTTGGAGATCACAGTAACGCTCGTAGAAATTACTGTACCATTCCGTACAACTTTTTAGAATAGACTCTCCCTCAAAAGAACTGAAATTAATTAACTCTTTGCAAAACGAATTTACACTGACTGGAACTTTTTTGTGATTGGTTTTTATCATAACTTCGAGTGAATTCTTCCAAACATTAATAACATCAGTCCAGGTTGGAATTTCATTTTCGGTTTCTAAACGATAATTTAGGTAATTTTTTAACCTCCATTCCTGGGCATCTATTTTCTTGAAATAATCATGAACATTCAACAACTCATTAGGCGCCTTAAAATGCAAGTAAATATTCGATCTTAGTGTCGCGGACATGTTTGAGAATAGAAAGTTTGAGAAATTTCTTGATAATTTTGAGCAGTCATCCTATAAATGATAACACGGATGACGTAGGTTTCTGAAAAATTGTGAAACATCATACATTTTGATTGGCTATTAAGCCCGTGATGAACTGTAAAACGACGGTCGGCCATTCATCGGCGGTGACAGTTGATTCATTGATTTTGCTGAAGTTTCTCGTGTCGGCCATTCATCGGCGACGAGAACTTCCCTTGTATCTTTAGATACTTAGGAGAAGCCATAGCTTCGTGTCGGCCATTCATCGGCGGTGAAGTTATGAGTTACTTGGTAGCTAACAACTGTTCGCGTCGGCCATTCATCGGCGGTGACAGTTGATTCATTGATTTTGCTGAAGTTTCTCGTGTCGGCCATTCATCGGCGACGAGAACTTCCCTTGTATCTCTATACTTAGGAGAAGCCATAGCTTCGTGTCGGCCATTCATCGGCGGTGAAGTTATGAATCAATGAATATCCGAGTTATCTCTCGGTAGTTTCTAGTTTCATCTGTACTATTATTTTATTATAGTTATAATTCGAAATATTTATTTGAGAAAAAATTTCAAATTCGATGGTTGCTTCTACCTGCGAAACTAACTGATTATTTATTAGAATATTTTATAACTTACAAGATTGATAAAATTTGAAATATGTGCTAAACGTTATTAATGATTTTTCAGATATTGTTTTTTTCCTATCACTAACTACGAGATTTTACACCAATACTCTTTTTCTACACTAGATTTCCGAAATAAATTATCCCATACAAATTTTCGCATATTTATATCACCCCACCCACACAGACAATATAAAAGAATATTCCCTGTAAGAAAACTTCTCCGAGATTAGGTAATTTCGAACCTACAGCATAAATCGGGGATTAGCAATTGAAATAAAAAATAAGGCAATGTAATATACACTTATCATTACTATTAATTTTCGCAACATTCCATTCAGCCTGAAATTTATTGCTTAACGCATTATAATAAGGTTATTTCGATTTTTTTATTGCACGTACGATACTGCGCAGAATTTGGCAAGTGAAGATGCTTATGATTCCTGATATACTGCGTCAGACCTTTGCTGTGAAGTTTCATGTGACGAGATTCATGTGAGTAATTTCACTGCGTCCATTGTACGCGTGATGATGGTCTGTGATTTTCTCGGCGAAGATCAAAATGCCCGATATATAACAAGAAGAGCAATATGACCGAAATTTTCATGGACTTCTGTAGAGTTGGAAAAAATCGATTAACATCGTGATGTCATGTTTCAAGAAGCTAGTCGAGCAATAAATCAACATACCTTATTATTACTTTGCGGATTATACGAGTTCGTTTGATCAAGGATATTAACGATGTGAATATTGGTAAGTTTGATTAGTTTGAATATTTCGCTTGATTTTTTGTTTTACTTATACAAGGCGGATAAAAAGATTCACTAACTTGGCCTTACCTTTTATATAATTCGCAGTGGGTCTAAGATCTTTGGGGAAATTTTCGTTAATACGACAAATCCAATTAACTCACCAAAAATGAAAAATTAATTAGTGATTACATAAAAAATTTCCGTGGCAATTGAGTCGATCTGTTACCCCAATTTCCATTTTCGTTCCATTCTAGCATAATGATCAGGGACACTCGCAATCATTAATTCATGAAAAACTGAGAGATAACTTATTTACTAGAACTTCGGGAAAAAAATACACGGTTTATTAATAGAACATTAAAAATAGATGTAGCATTAAATCAATACAAAGGAGTAGCCAATTTTTAAATAAATGGGACAATGCCTGTGATACACTGTATATTGTTTTATACTAATGACTGCGGACTTTATTTTTTCGTGTAATAACCCTCATGCTTACTCGAAGAAATTATAACACTTGATTTTGAAAAAATTGCGCATGTTAAATTTTGCCCAGGCAACTGCGCATCGATTTCACATGACCGTTCTAAGTCACAATCGCGAACTTGAATTTATTGCTTGAACTGTTGCAGGTAAGACAATATTCTGTTCCATTTCTATACCATTCGCCGTGTAATCCATAATTCC